CCCCAAAACCCCAAAACCCCAAAACCCCAAAACCCCAAATTTTATAAAATATTGAAAATGGATCAACAGCCCCAGAAACAGCGCATCGAGTACTACGGTCAGAAAAGAGATGGCCTATATCATGGCTTTGGTAAGGCCTTCTACCGCTCTGGAGAACTATACATCGGAAGCTGGTACAAAGGAAAGCGCCATGGCAAGGGCTCCCTTTTCTTTAGGAAAGGTGATCGATACACGGGATACTGGAAGAACGATACTATGGAGGGTGAAGGAGTAATGGTCACTGGACCAGGCATCACCTTTACAGGAAAATTCAAGAGTAACAAGAAACATGGTGAAGGAAAAATAGTTTATGTATGATATTTTAGTAATTCTATTTAGACCGATGGTAAAGAATACTATGAAAAATGGGATGATGGAGTTCTACTATATCACAAATCTACTGTCAGCGGACAAGACAGTGAAGACATCGAACCTGAAGTTGAAGAAGAGAATGATCTAGAAAAAGAGCTAAGAGGTGTTTACACTTCTCCAAGACAATCCCTTCCTCATGAGCTAAAGGAGATGATTCATCCAGGATATCTCAAGATGAGAGATAAGGATATAGGCGATAAGCAATCAACTATTAAAAGATATGGTAAAACTTCTGTACGAAAAGACTCTGAATTGATTAAAAATTTGGAACCTAAAGTAATGCAAACTGAGATTGAAGAAGTCAAAGTTAAGGTAATTTTCTTGACCATGTCTAGAAAGAAAATGATGCTGAAGAAATTAAAAGAACAAATAAAAAGAAACTTTCAGGATCTCTCAAAGCTAATACTAAGACTGAAGTTAAAGAAGATGAGGAGACTAAAAGTCCCCAGGGCAAGCCTCTAACAAAGCATAAAAGGGATGACTCAAAGGATGTCAATGGTATTCTCAACCTCAGTGAATTAGTATCTAAAAAGAGATCGAAAGAGTTAAGGAGTCGGTCTGTCGTGATGAATTCAACAGAGAAAAGCAATAGGACTACTATTTTTAAATCAAAACATCTAGAATTATCTGAGAAACTGAGTGAAGGCTTTGTCACCTCTAAGAGGAGCAGTGGATTCAATCTAGTCATCGATTTTTCAGATCTCCATTTCTCTCTTAAGAATGACTTAATAGCGACAGGAGGTTATGGAGAGGTTTACAAAGGAAAATGGTTGGGTCTCCCAATCGCTATCAAACGTTTTGGCAAGAAATATATCAACAAGAAAGCGATAAAGGAGCTGATTAAAGAGATCGAAGTTGTTCATTCTTGCAGGCATCCATACATTGTGCTCTACCTTGGGGTCTCTTTTGATAAATACAATCATTATTATATGGTCACAGAATATGTCAGTAAGGGGAGTCTATTCCATATTTTGCATAAGAAGAACCTCTTGATGAGTGAAATGAAGGCGTTCACTATTGCAAAACAAATAGCTATAGCTCTGAACTACCTTCATTCCCAAAATATTTTGCATTGAGACTTAAAGAGTCAGAATATATTAATCAAAGAAGACTGGAGTGTAAAAATTTGTGATTTTGGACTCTCTAAAATAAGAGGAATCTCACCTGAAGAGGATAAAAAGGGACGTGTAGGCACTCCTCATTGGATGGCTCCTGAGATTCTAAGAGGGAATAAATATGAAGCAGCTTCTGATGTTTATAGTTATGGAGTAATTCTTTGGGAGCTTATTACAAGACAAATCCCTTTCTTGCATAGATCGCTTGCTCAGATAACTGGATTAGTAGGTTATTATGGGCAAAAGCTCCCAATTCCAAAGACTAAGAATTGCCCTTCAGGAGTCCTCCAGAAACTTGCTAAGAATTGACTAGTATTCGAGCCATACAGAAGACCTTCATTTGATCAAATAATTTCCTATTTGGAGAAATATGAATTTAAAATCCATTGAGGTACCCAAGAAGACTTCTTAGAAGAACTTGCTGAATTCATTTCATAAAATATTCAATAGAATGACTTCCTCTAGGGGTTTTGGGGTTTTGGGGTTTTGGGGTTTTGGGG